CAGTTCAGCATACCTTAGCCCAGGAGGGCGAAAGTCAGTCAATATGGGACATTCTACAATATAATGTTCAAGAGAGTGCATGTTTTCTCTTTCACAAAGTTGACACATTGTGTACTCGACATTTGGGTTTTTGAGAAAGCTGCCAGATACGTCTATATCCCAGACGTATTCTGGCCACTATAACATCACATTGCCGGGTTCTTGTTCTATTAGTCCCATATATGAATATCTCCTCACGATAGGATAAGGACTGGCACGTCCACAACAAATGACAAGATGTGAGGAACTCAATACGAGATTCCAGGAGGTCTTCACACTAGAGCAAGGAGAAGTTCCTGAACTGAGAATGGCGATATCTAATCAGGAACCACTGGAAGAGTGTATTACCAGTGGGGAGAAGAGGAAGCATTTGCTTGAATTTTATATGGCACAGATACTAAAAGATGGTGAGATAGTTTAGTACACTTTAGTATCTCACCATGGATACTAAAAGATGGAGCACAAGCACTATGACTGCCACTCTCAATGGTGTATATCAAGTCATATCAATCTGTCATGTATATCAATCATGTATATACATGATATACATATCAATGGTGTATATCATGTATATCAATCTGTCCATGTACCTATCCATCTAACGATGTATTTATCTATCCATCTATCAATGCATTCATATATCCATTTATCTATGAATTCATCTATCCATTATGTTTTAATTTATCTATTCATCTATGCACCATCCCCAAGGATGGTGTCCACAGTAGGTCGACACCATCCCTGGGATGGTGTCCACAGTAGGTCGACACCATCCCTGGGATGGTGTCCACAGTAGGTCGACACCATACACTGTATACACGTTGACATAATAGTGTAGCCTCACACACCGTGTTGTACTGAACAATGTGTCTTCACCGCATGATGGTGATGACGGTGGTAGTGATGACTGCGTGTTCTCTCCCGCAGGTAAAGGCAGAAGCCCAGGGCGTCACCACACTGCTCACCATCAGTAGCGGCAGGTCCTGGCGGCGGGCACCTCCTTCCCTCACTCTCACCACCTCACTCCCGACCCCTCACTCCCGACCCCTCACTCCCGACCCCTCACTCTCACCACCTCACCTTGTGACCTCCTCCTCACTTCTCAGGAGAATCTGCCATGCCCGCCCGGACCTGCCCCTACCTTCAGTCACTTTCTCACAATGAGGAATAATTTAACTAATATATATATATATATATATATATATATATAAGTAAAATTATCAGACTGATTATTGGTTAGTAAGTTCTGAGTTGAGTGAAAATGTTATCAGCCAATGGGTGTGTGTGATATCAGCCAGTGGGTGTGTGATATCTGCCAGTGGGTGTGTGTGATATCTACAAGTGGATGGGTGATATCAGCCAGTGGGTGAATGATATCAGCCAGTGGGTGAATGATATCAGCCAGTGGGTGGATAATATCTGCCAGTGGGTGGGTGATATCAGCCAGTGGGTGAATGATATCAGCCAGTGGATGGGTGATATCAGCCTGTGGGTGTGTGTGTGTGTGAGAGAGAGGTCAGAGTACAACAGGTATGGTTGTATCAACATGTGAGTTGGTTAATGCGAGTGATTGGTTGCCGCACCTCCACACCTGTCCTTCCTGTGGTCCCCAGCCCTGCAACACTTCCACGCCTGTCCTTCCTGGGGTTCCCAACCCTGCAACCCCACACCTGTCCTTCCTGTGGTCCCCAGCCCTGCAACACCTCCACACCTGTCCTTCCTGGGTTCCCAGCCCTGCAACACCTCCACACCTGTCCTTCATGGGTCCCCAGCCCTGCAACACCTCCACACCTGTCCTTCATGGGTCCCCAGCCTTGCAACACCTCCACACCTGACCTTCATGGGGTCATTAATCCTGCAACACCTCCACACCTGTCCTTCATGGGGTCCCTAATCCTGCAACACCTCCACACCTGTCCTTCATAGGTTACCAGCCCTGCAACACCTCCACACCTGTCCTTCATGGGTCCCTAGCCCTGCAACACCTCCACACCTGTCCTTGCTGAGTCCCCAGACCTGCATCACCTCCACACCTGTCCTTCATGGGGTTATTAATCCTGCAACACCTCCACACCTGTCCTTCCTAGGTTCCCAGACCTGCAACACCTCCACACCTGTCCTTGCTGAGTCCCCAGACCTGCATCACCTCCACACCTGTCCTTCATGGGTCCCCAGACCTGCATCACCTCCACCCCTGTCCTTCATGGGGTTATTAATCCAGCAACACCTCCACACCTGTCCTTCCTAGGTTCCCAGACCTGCAACAACTCCACACCTGTCTCTGCCGCCCTAGTCCTCCCCGCCCTGTCACCCCGCCCTGTCACCCCGCCTTCCTTCACCTGTCACCTGGAGCGCATGTGTCGCCTTCATCTGTCTTATTTCCTCTCTCAGAATCTAGAAACATTGTGTTACATGAGGCAGCGTGTGTTATCCTACACTATCTACGGCGCCAGGAGCTCCTCCTCCTCCCTACACGATAACAGATCTGAAGTAAGATGTCAGTCACTTGCTCGCAGGCGTCAGTCTGGTGTCAGTACAGCTGTCAGAGAGGTGCATAGGGTGCACCCACCTCCTCTGCTCCCCTTAAACTGCCTGTTAACTATTATTCAAGCACCTTTGTACAAGCTTGTTTGACCTCTGAAATTGCTATCTTTCTGAGGCTTACATGAGCATTGCTTGTACCGTCAAGGTCACCCTGGCAACACGGTCAAGGTCGAGGGGGACTTGAACAATCTCTTGACCTTGATGGTAACGTCATTGTCAAAGGGCAACACAATTGTCTTGTACGAATCATTTGACACCTAAATGGTCATCACATTAACCTGGTCATTCGTAACCGGTCAGACATTCACCTGAGCGGCATAATGCCCATCAGCTTGAGCTGGAGGCGTCCCTCAGGGCCGTACACTGTCACCATTGACCACTGTGTCCCTGGCCAGGCTGCTGCCCTTAGAGTATGTGAGTGACTACAATATACTTACTTTTTGTCATCTGGATAATGCTGGCATGTAGCATGTGTGGCAATAATGTATCATTAAGGTACGTAGCCATATGGCCATGCGTGGTGCGGGCCAGATGTCCATGTGTGGTGCGGGCCACATGTCCATGCGTAGTGCTGGCATGAGCTATTGCCTGGAGGAGCGATGTGTTAGCGTCGTCCACGGGTGAGTATTGTGTACGTGGACACAGTGACACTATCCGCGACTATCCTCCAACGGACCATCCTACCCGCGACCATCCCACCCCTCACCAGCGACCATCATCCCAGTGACCATCCCACCACCCCCACCACCAGCGACCATCCCACCCCCCACCAGCGACCATCCTCCCAGCGACCATCCCACCACCCCCACCACCAGTGACCATCCCCACCAGCGACCATCCCACCCCCCACCAGCGACCATCCTCCCAGTGACCATCCTACCACCCCCACCACCAGTGACCATCCCCACCAGCGACCATCCCACCCCCACCAGCGACCATCCCACCCCCACCAGCGACCATCCCACCAGCGACCATCCCACCCCCCACCAGCGACCATCCCACCCCCCACCAGCGACCATCCCACCCCCCCCCCCACCAGCGACCATCCTCCTGCCCCCCCACCAGCGACCACCCCCCCCCCACCAGCGACCATCCTCCTGCCCCCCCACGCCGCCACTATCGTTGGAGAACGACAAGGAAAACAGTGTTTCCTGGAGTGTCGAGCGTCAGTGTGACCAAGATGGCGGTCAGGGAGACTGAGCAGCGCCACTCTGGAATATTAAAGAGGCGCACATCACTACACCTGAGATAACATCGTGCTACACACGGACTCATCAGACCGGACTATAGACTGAAACATCTCCCATGTCGATGTCTGCCTTGTGTTTCTCACAGTTACACGACCAATCACCAGCAACTGCTCTCTATCTCTTCCATCTACTGTGTGTGAACATACATGAATTTATTAGTCCGTTTTGGCGGATACAGCGTCCTTCTTGTGTAACTACACGACCTGAGACATGAATACCTATTCGACTAGACTCATATCTAAACGGCCTCTTAATATTGTATTCATCTTCTCACCCACATGTAGACGGCCTCACTTATGTATACAAACGACTCACATGTATAATTTTTATCTAGTCATTTTTTTTTTCATCCGGATTAACACAGACCGACACAGTGAGGCCCGGGTGATGTCTCTTCTCTCTCTCTCTCTCTCTCTCTCTCTCTCTCTCTCTCTCTCTCTCTCTCTCTCTCTCTCTCTCTCTCTCTCTCTCTCTCTCTCTCTCTCTCTCTCTCTCTCTCTATACATGACTTCCAGACACAGACTTGGACTGTATGTGGACCTTGTCTTGGACTGTATGTGGACCTTGTCTTGGACTGTATGTGGACCTTGTCTTGGACTGTATGTGGACCTTGTCTTGGACTGTATGTGGACCTTGTCTTGGACTGTATGTGGACCTTGTCTTGGACTGTATGTGGACCTTGTCTTGGACTGTATGTGGACCTTGTCTTGATCCGTCATATCTTTCCAGTGTGTTAATGTTAACATTCTCAGCGAACCTAAATGCTAACTGCAGTTTAATTTGGTAAAAACAAATTATTAACCTGGATTTGTTTTAGCTTCAATTAGAAAGATTTTAACAATTTAATATTATTATGTCTGGGCCATTTTGAGTTATTTCAAGTATTTCAAGAACAATATTCACCTTCAGTGGGTCAACATTTTCAGCAGTGAAAGGCAGGAGATAATTCTCCAAGGCTCCTTAAGACATCTTACATTCTTACGTTTCTAATCTCTGTTCTTCAATGTTCTTTCCTGCTGTCTTCATCTCCTGCGGCTGCTCGCGTGTGGGACCGGTGTACCGTCCATATTGGTACGCTCTCCTGTCCGTGACGGTTGTGCTTCTCCTCATCGGCGCCGCTACGCCTCCTGGCGCTGATGGGCGTGATGGTGGGCGTGGCCGAGGAAGATGGTGTGGGCGGAGACATACCTGGTGGGGTGTGGCTACACCTACTACAAGGACCCCTCCCTCGGCTACACCAAGATCTACGTGTGCAACTACGCTCCCGGGTGAGTTGCTCATCCAACACCTTCATTTGTCTCACAAGAAATGAAACCTCACTTTGTGAGGTGAAGGTTCTCATTTTGGTGTTAGTGTTGTGCTCTGTAAGCTAGTTACTGTAAGTCCACACAGTTACTGTAAGTCCACACAGTTACTGTAAGTCCACACAGTTACTGTAAGACTACACAGTTACTGTAAGTCCACACAGTTACTGTAAGTCCATATAGTTACTGTAAGTCCACACAGTTACTGTAAGTCCACACAGTTACTGTAAGTCCACATAGTTACTGTAAGTCCACACAGTTACTGTAAGTCCACATAGTTACTGTAAGTCCACACAGTTACTGTAAGTCCACACAGTTACTGTAAGTCCACATAGTTACTGTAAGTCCACACAGTTACTGTAAGTCCACACAGTTACTGTAAGTCCACACAGTTACTGTAAGTCCACATAGTTACTGTAAGTCCACATAGTTACTGTAAGTCCACACAGTTACTGTAAGTCCACACAGTTACTGTAAGTCCACATAGTTACTGTTAGTCCACACAGTTACTGTAAGTCCACATAGTTACTGTAAGTCCACACAGTTACTGTAAGTCCACATACTTACTCTAAGTCCACACAGTTACTGTAAGTACTTTCCTTTCAGGAGGCTGGGCTCCTCGAGAGTGGTATAGGTACTCGCCTGGTGACAGCCACTCATAACACAGGACAAATGCTCGTTAATTATGCTGCCTAATTGCCTGTTTGTAAAAGAAAAAACGGTTTACACATGACCCGCAGCTGATGACATTCGACCATTTCTGGCGCAGTGCTTCGCTGACCTCTGCTCGAACCCCATCCCTGTAAATGACCCACATATTTCAAATACATATAATCGTCAACAGAATCTAAACACCTAACCTAACCAGCCACGCCTAACAATACCTAGAACTCTAGCATACAATATTAATTTATATATAACAAACATTTTTAATACGCAGTATGTTAAAATTGATGAATGAGTCTCGAGGGACGGCCGCCGCTTTAACGAGCCTGGCCTGAGACAGGTCGCCTGATGCTGTCTTCTCCCCACAGAGGCAACGTTATCGGCGGCTCTATGTACAAGTTGGGCTTCCCGGGACAACAATACTGTGTCAGCGATGGTCTGCACCCTTCCGCAGCCTACCAGGGCCTCTGTGGTGAGTCTCTGTGTCTGTCTGTGTCTCAGTCTCTCTCTCACTGCTCGTGTGTCTGTGTCTCAGTCTCTCTCTCACTCCTCGTGTGTCTGTGTCTCTGTCTCTCTCTCTCTCACTCCTCGTGTGTCTGTGTCTCAGTCTCTCTCTCACTCCTCGTGTGTCTGTGTCTCAGTCCCTCTCTCACTGCTCGTGTGTCTGTGTCTGAGTCTCTCTCTCACTCCTCGTGTGTCTCTGTCTCTCTCTCACTCCTCGTGTGTCTGTGTCTCAGTCTCTCTCTCACTCCTCGTGTGTCTGTCTCTCAGTTTCTCTCTCACTCCTCGTGTGTCTGTCTCTCAGTTTCTCTCTCACTCCTCGTGTGTCTGTGTCTCAGTCTCTCTCTCACTCCTCGTGTGTCTGTGTCTCAGTCTCTCTCTCACTCCTCGTGTGTCACTGTCTCTCAGTTTCTCTCTCACTCCTCGTGTGTCTGTCTCTCAGTCTCTCTCTCACTCCTCGTGTGTCTGTCTCTCAGTCTTTCTCACTCCTCGTGTGTCTGTCTCTCAGTCTCTCTCACTCCTCGTGTGTCTGTCTCTCAGTCTCTCTCTCACTCCTCGTGTGTCTGTGTCTCAGTCTCTCTCTCACTCCTCGTGTGTCTGTGTCTCAGTCTCTCTCTCACTCCTCGTGTGTCTGTGTCTCAGTCCCTCTCTCACTGCTCGTGTGTCTGTGTCTGAGTCTCTCTCTCACTCCTCGTGTGTCTCTGTCTCTCTCTCACTCCTCGTGTGTCTGTGTCTCAGTCTCTGTCTCCCTCCTCGTGTGTCTGTGTCTCAGTCTCTCTCTCACTCCTCGTGTGTCTGTCTCTCAGTTTCTCTCTCACTCCTCGTGTGTCTGTCTCTCAGTTTCTCTCTCACTCCTCGTGTGTCTGTGTCTCAGTCTCTCTCTCACTCCTCGTGTGTCTGTGTCTCAGTCTCTCTCTCACTCCTCGTGTGTCACTGTCTCTCAGTTTCTCTCTCACTCCTCGTGTGTCTGTCTCTCAGTCTCTCTCTCACTCCTCGTGTGTCTGTCTCTCAGTCTTTCTCACTCCTCGTGTGTCTGTCTCTCAGTCTCTCTCACTCCTCGTGTGTCTGTCTCTCAGTCTCTCTCTCACTCCTCGTGTGTCTGTCTCTCAGTCTCTCTCTCACTCCTCGTGTGTCACTGTCTCTCAGTTTCTCTCTCACTCCTCGTGTGTCTGTCTCTCAGTCTCTCTCACTCATCGTGTGTCTGTCTCTCAGTCTCTCTCACTCCTCGTGTGTCTATCTCTCAGTCTCTCTCACTCCTCGTGTGTCTGTCTCTGTCTCTCTCTCACTCCTCGTGTGTCTGTCTCTCAGTCTCTCTCATTCCTCGTGTCTGTCTCTCTCAGTTTCCAAAATAAAATCGTCAAATCAGAGCAAAGTTAATCTCTTTATAAACAATAAAGTAACAATTACTGTGGTTATAATAGACCGAACATTGCCTGTTCTCTTATGTTCTTCTGCTCGCAGAGTAAGCTGTATTCCCTCAAACTTCAGTTTTATACAGGTGTGGGTACAGTGTATGAATGACAGGTGTGGGTACAGTGTATGATTGACGGGTGTGGGTGCAGTGTATGATTGACAGGTGTGGGTACAGTGTATGATTGACAAATGAGGGTACAGTGTATGATTGACAGGTGTGGGTACAGTGTATGATTGATAGGTGTGGGTACAGTGTATGATTGACAGGTGTGGGTACAGTGTATGATTGACAGGTGTGGGTACAGTGTATGATTGACAGGTGTGGGTACAGTGTATGATTGACAGGTGTGGGTACAGTGTATGAGTGACAGGTGTGGGTACAGTGTATGACTAACAGGTGTGGGTACAGTGTATGATTGACAGGTGTGGGTACAGTGTATGACTAACAGGTGTGGGTACAGTGTATGGTTGACAGGTGTGGGTACAGAGAATGATTGACAAGTGTGGATACAGAGTATGATTGACAGGTGTGGGTACAGAGTATGACTGACAGGTGTGGGTACAGTGTATGACCGACAGGTGTGGGTGCAGTGTATGTTTGACAAGTGTGGGCACAGTATGACTGACAGGAGTGGGTAGAGTGTATGACTGACAAGTGTGGGTACAGTGTATGATTGACAGGTGTGGGTACAGTGTATGATTGACAGGTGTGGGTACAGAGTATGATTGACAGGTGTGGGTACAGTGTATGATTGACAGGTGTGGATACAGTGTATGACTGACAGGTGTGGGTACAGTGTATGATTGACAGGTGTGGGAACAGTGTATGACTGACAAGTGTGGGTACAGAGTATGACTGACAGGTGTGGGTACAGTGTATGACTGACAGGTGTGGGTACAGAGTATGACTGACAGGTGTGGGTACAGTGTATGACTGACAGGTGTGGGTACAGTGTATGACTGACAGGTGTGGGTACAGTGTATGACTGACAGGTGTGGGTACAGAGGGATACAGTTTAGCGGTAGTGAGAGGAGGTGTTGGGTGTGTTGTAACGTGTCGCTGCCCAACAGATCGCGAGGCCGGGAACAAGCCGGGTCCCTGTGGCAAGATGCCGTCGTCCGCCATGCATCATCCATCTCTCACCAACAGCATCTCCTCCAGCGGTCCTCACCCCAGCATGATGTCTCATGCCGCGCCCCACATGATGATGCCTCACCCCGCCCCTCACCACCCCATGACTCCTCACGACTACATGGACGACCACGACATTATGAGGCCAGGAGAATTCCTCATGAAGGGCATCCAAGAGCCCTTCAAGGGGATCATGAAGATCCTCAATCCCTGGAATATTCTGAACCGCTTCACGTGAGTGACGCCGCCGCAACAGTTGACGGAGGGCTGCACTCACCGCCCGGTGGCCGCCACTCATTGTTGAGACTCGCTCGTGTACCGGAACTATTCTCGTCGTTAGTTACCTTGTATCTTTAGCTTTAAGTCATGACAGTAGTGCCTTGGTGAGAATGTGTATAGCGTGAATTGAGTACTGGGGCCCCTTAGCGTGTACTGCGGGGGGCCTCGAACGTGGAGAGTGTGTGCCCCGAGTAGCGTATATGCCGGGTGCGGCTACTCTGGACTTCAATACAAGCCTTGTATCAGTAACTTTTACCACAGTTACAATTGAAACCTCATGAAAGCATCATTTGTTGACGAGACTCTGGTAGTCCTTGAAAACATATTAAAGAAGGAAACATGCATTTAAAACCATACTCAGTTTCATGAGTGACTGGCTCTGTTTTACAACCCCCAAGATGCAAGAATAGCTGGCTGTATTACAAGTCTGAGTGGCTGTGCAACCCCTTGAGGGCATTGTGCACGCTCAACAGGTCTGAACAATTGTTAGGTTCGTGTTGAGTGTTTTAAACACGCACATAGGTAAGGTGGCGCTACAATACTGTATGTTTTGTCTTCTAGGAAGACGTATTGTCCTCATCAGTCTTGTGGAGTTCCATACCTTGGTTAGTAACTGGCCTCTCTCCTATATGGTCTTAAGGGGAAGGTGGTCTGCCTCCACCGTCACCTTAGGGTGATGGAGGGAGCCAGCCTCCACCGTCACCTCAGGGTGATGGAGGGAGCCAGACTCCCCTGCAGGCCACGGTGAGAGCCTGCGTCACACAACACATATTGTGTTCTATTCCGCCACTTGCTTCAAAACATTGTCACTTGCTTAGCTAAACGAAGTATAGGGATCACTTCCTGAACCCATTATGTGCCTCTGTGACCCTCTCCATCACTGCCCACGGCATGGGTATAGGGTGCATAATAAAGATGTTGAATTGTATTGACATTACTGAGCAGCGACCCACGAGGTAAGAGGAGTGAAGAGACCCATTATGTGTGTGTGTAGGACCGGCTGACACGTTGTGTGGTACAGCCGGCCGGACCACTCGTCCCTCTCACACTTCTGGTCACTGCTTATATTATCTCAGAGTAAACAAGTTTATGACCTTGAAGCAGATGCTTTATATAATACTTGAGAAGTTAATTTGGCGGTTGATGGATGACAGGTGTCAGATGGATGACATGCCGCTGTCTCCTGGTCATTGACAGCTGCTTGGTAGTCCTTTGGCACTCTGCCAGTTCGTGCGACTAGTATACATCTGGCCGTGTAACTGTCTTCAGCTGGTTGTGTTGTTAGTGATGGTCTAGTGGGGCCACAACACATAAGGCATGTGTATCGTGCAGATGGTGTTAGGCCTATACATTTATGAAGACTTAATACTGTTGTACAAGTGAATGACTTCAACACAACACAGTTCATCATGATCCCGTGTAACAAGTTCTTGACTAACTTTACCCGTTGACAAGTAAAATATTCAAGTAAAGTAACTTTTCTCAAGTAAAATAACTTTTTATAAAAATATTAAATAATGAAAAAGGTTTTATACAATAATTTCTACGCAGTCAGTATATATATCAGGAGGATCTGCTTGCCGGCAAGCAGGGCGGTGGGCGTGTGGGCTCCAGGGGGGGGCGAGGAGCCCTCCAATTACAGGTTTGGAAGGCATATAAATTTAGCACAAGGGCATATTTCATATCAAATATCCTTAACATATATATATATGTGCGTTTATCACTGCCGAAGAGCTCATATGTTGTGTACCATTGCTGGAAATTCGTATATACTGGCCTGTTTTTTTTTTTTTATTGTACATGTAGAATAAAAGGTATATTTTGTTGACCAGACCACACACAAGAAAGTGAAGGGACGACGACGTTTCGGTCCGTCCTGGACAATTCTCAAGTCGATTGTTTATATTTTGTCAATTAATTGTCAATTTAATTGACAATTAATTTTGTCAATTAAAAAAGGTAAATTTTGTCAATTACTCAAAACAGACTAATTTTTGTTACTAGATGTGGCTGCATTTCAGGAATAAAGTTTTCACTTTATATATAATATTATTAAGTACAGATGGACTTGTGGTCCAGTACCTGAGTGTGTCCCTCGACCTCGTGTCGAGTTATACACCAATGTTGTATAAAGTGTGTATATCACAATACATTAATACAGAATCATGATCATTATGTTTAAAGATTGATAAGAGTTACGTAAATGTATATATTGTAATAAATCTTATATCCGTTTCTTTCCTATAATCAAGAACAAATATGTAATGTATATGTATGTATATGTATCAATAAAATGTATGTTAAGAAGGTAAGGCGGCCTGTGTAGTGCAGGCCGGGACAGGGAGGGTTCTCAAAAGACACAGACAAAAGAGGCTATTTATTGTATTTAAACAACTACTTTACATTACAACTTTCATAAATAATCTGTGAACGATAATGAATTTTATTTATACCATTACTGTCTTTTTGTGCGTGTGTGTGTGGCTGCGGGGGCTGAGAAGTCATTATAGAGGCGGCACCTTTGTTCTTGGGCAACATTGGGGAAATGAGATTTCTGATCATTCTAAAAAGTAAAAATAGTTAACAAGAGCAATGCAGTTGAGACCGCAAAGTACAAGTCTCAGTTCCGTATTTTTTTTTTTTTTAATTTTGCCCCGAGGGGCGAGTTTATTGGGCAGCGCCACTCATCCTGTGAGTGGACACACCGCCATAGCAGCATGTACAACACTCCCCAATAGGAAGAAAACCCGCTGGGTTGTTCATCCTGTCACTAGTACCCAAACACAGCTGGGACTTGCTTAACTGTCTCAAGTGAACCGCTCCTCAAACAAGAAGATTAACATCTGTCAATGTAAGTGCCACTGATGAGGTATTCGCGTGTGGCCAATACGCCATCCAGCTTACAGGTGTTTCCCAGTTGTTGTTATGGCGCCAGGAGACGGACCGCAGCGGTGGCGCCACGACGTACAACACAACTATGAGGGATAAGGACGCCGACAACAGCAGAAACGAAATTGGTCGCAGTCTAATGAACCTCCGAGAGGATTCGGGCAAGACAGATGCTTCTTCCAGACAAGACGCTCACAGCGAACAACCCGAGCAGTCGGATGTCCACCGGTAAATGCAGTTTGGCGGGCAGCAGAAGGCCCGACGCGGGGTGGAGCAGCGGGCAACACTAAGGAAAGTTAGCTGAAACAGAAGATGAGATCGCGGGACAATAAGACGCGACATTCAGGGAATAGCAGCAAATAATAACGTTCCGGTATTGTCAAAGTGCCACTGAAGGAAAGACACAAGTGTGTTAAAGTAGTTGAGGCAGAAGATAATGAGAAGTGGTCGCTCTTACCTCAAGGACTCTCTAAGCCAGATAAATGGAAGAGCAGCGAGTGATTACGACAAGAGAAAGAGCGGATACAAGAGTCTTGTGTGACTGATTCTGTTTGGGTTCAAGGACTGGCCACCCAGAACTGACTGGGACTGTTTACTCCTGTTCACCCAGCAGTAATTGGGAACTTGTTGTAAATCGAGTGATAGGTCATATTACTGCAACCTGGGATATGATATGGCTAGAAAAACAAAGTCTGCCAATAGGAGTCAGAAGTCGCCTGCTCCTGTACTCTCCTGTGTAGCAAAAATGTAGGTTATAATAAATATAAGAGCTCCATAGGGTATATATAAGAGCTCCACATACTACTGGCAAAACTCACCTAAATAGAGAAATTATACAAGTAAAAATTTAAAAAAGAGTTTTATGTATTAGTTTTATCTCATTATAAGAAAAACTGGAAGGCTGAGAGACAAATAGAACAGACATTATACCAAGTATTTATGAAAACAAGATGGCGGTGAAGTTAATGTGGGACATATGAGTATGTGATCTTGAAAAGTTAATTAAAGGAGCAGTTAAGAAGGGACGACCATACAGGAGACAAGGACAAGGGCCAAGCTCCGCTTCCTCGGGACAAAAACTTGAGATTATAACTTCAAGCTCTGAAAAATTAGTATAAAACCCGCAAATATTCCATTGAATAAGACGAATTTGGAGACAAGAACAGAGACGGGGGGGGGGGGGGGAGACAGTGAACAAACGAACAGGAACACTTGACGTGAGGTCGGGGTGACCCCCCCCCCAACCTACCTCACCTGACCTTAGGGGCCAGGCTGGTCATGGTCGGGGTGTGTGACCTTAGGGGTCAGGGGTCCAGGCAGGTCAAGGTCGGGGTGTGTGACCTTAGGGGTCAGGGAGCCAGGCAGGTCAAGGTCGGGGTGTGTGACCTTAGGGGTCAGGGGTCCAGGCAGGTCAAGGTCGGGGTGTGTGACCTTAGGGGTCAGGGAGCCAGGCAGGTCAAGGTCGGGGTGTGTGACCTTAGGGGTCAGGGGTCCAGGCAGGTCAAGGTCGGGGTGTGTGACCTTAGGGTTCAAGGGTCCTGGCAGGTCAAGGTCGGGGTGTGTGACCTTAGGGGTCAGGGGCCTAGGCAGGTCAAGGAAGAACAGGTCAGCAGGGACAAGAACAGCAGCACGGACATAACGAGTCAATAAGGGAGGAGGAAGAAGTGCGAGGTAGAGATAATTCGTGTAGGAAGAGCAGCTCTGAAATAACAATGGTGAATGACTTCTTTTGTTTAAGGCGAAGAGAACGAGGAAACAGTCTTACACTTTAAGGTGGATGTGGGGATAATTGCTGGTTGGGCTCACTTGTTGAAATCCAATTATCGATGCTGGCAAGTTTCAGCCGGAGACGAAAGTCGACGGTGTCAAAGGTGGACACGGCCCGTGACTGAGGGAGGGACAATGGTCGCGTGACAGAGGTGAACACCGAAGACACGAACACAGAAGAGGTCCTGTACCGACAAAAGGAGGCCCAAGAGGCAGGAGTTAGAGAATGTATGCGAGCATGAAGGACGGTCCAGGAGACGTGGGTGTCGGGAGTGGGGTGCAGAGGAACACTTTCGGCTGACGGAAGTAGAGGTGGTCGAGGCTGTGGCTGAGGGTCGCGACGACACCGTCAGAGGCCGAGGTGTCGCAGCTGACTTAGAAAAGGGGATATTACCCGTGTCCTATAACTGACCAATCTGGTCAACAGCACATGACCATGGCTACGCGCGGTGGTCGCCAGAGTGACCGTCTGAGCCCCACAAGCGGCCTCATCACCTCCTAACTGGCCACAAAGTGGTCAATATGACAACACGGTCACGACTATCGAGGCACACTGCCCATACTTCCTACACTTAAAACATTTTCGCGCGGAGAGAAACATTCCGGAAGACAACATGTGACGCTAAAAGTTTACCCGAGGTCGCGTCGGACCGACGGATAAGTGTTGTTCTACCGATACAGAGAGAACAAGTACGCCTACAGCTAAGGGGAGGTGATGACCTTGGACAACAATGACCCTGGACAATGATGACCCTGGACAACAATGACCTGGACAATGATGACCCTGGACCACAATGACCTGGACAATAATGACGTGGACAATAATGATCCTGGACAATGATGATCCTGGACAACAATGACCTGGACAATGATGACCCTGGACAACGATGACCCTGGACAATGATGACCCTGGACAACAATGACCTGGACAATAATGACCCCTGGACAATAATGACTCCAGACAATGATGACAATGGTCAATAATAATCATGGACAATGATGACTCTGGACAATGATGACTCCGGACAATGATGACCCTGGACAATGATGAACCTATAGCTGAATGATCAATACGGCGTCACACACCTCGTCTCACATTACGGCGTCACACCATTACGGCGTCACACCGGACGTCGTAGTGAAAGGGTGACGTCGCCCTTTCTGCCAGAGAAAGGACGCAATAAGAAAACCCTGATGTAATAGGACTCACGGAAACAAAATTGTCAGGACTCATAACAGATGCTGTGTTTCCAAAGGACTACTATATAGTAAGGAAAGAGAGGGAAGGGAGAGGAGGTGGAGGAGTGGCCCTGCTGATAAGGAAGGACTGGAGTTTGGATGAGATGGAAATTCCGGATTGTGATGGGTTCAGAGATTACATAAGAGGAACTATAACAATGGGTGGACCTAAGATAATAGTGGCAGTCATTTACAACCCTACCCTAAATGACAGAAGACCTAGACAGGAGTTTGATAGGAACAACATGGCAACCATTAATATAATAGAGAGAGCAGCTTCAGTTGCCTGCAGGAATGGCTCAAGACTCTTAATCATGGGCGATTTCAACCATGGAAAGATAGACTGGGAGAATGGGGACCCACATGGTGGTGCAGATACGTGGAGAGCTAAACTCTTGGAAGTGGTAACACGGAACTTTCTGACCCAGCATGTCAAGGAACCCACAAGAGTGAGAGGCAATGATGAACCAGCTAGACTCGACTTGATATTCACCCAGAATGAGTCAGAAATAAGGGAAGTCAAAAGTTGAAGCCCCCATTGGAATGAGTGACCACAGTGTACTGACTTTTGAGTACTTGGTGGAGGTAGGGATAACCTATCCAAGGATGGGATCGAAGGGAAAAAGACTAAATTACCGAAGAATTTCTGCCCGAAACGCTTTGCGTAATAGTGGCTTTAGGCATTGTATGTACTAGCTCTATCTATAAAGCCAACAAACTTTGTAAAATCTCTTTATGTATGTACCTTTGCCTAAATAAAAATTATTATTATTATTATTATTATTATTATTATTATATAAGAGGAAAATATGACGAGATGAGGAACTTCCTCAAAGGAATACCATGGGAAACAGAACTTAGAGACAAGAATGTGCAGGACATGATGGATTTTGTCACCCAGAAGTGCCAGGAAGCTGCAGACAGGTTTATCCCCGTCCAAAAGGAGAAAAACGAAAAACAACAGAAAAACCCATGGTTCAACCAGGAATGCAAGGTAGCGAAGCAACTGAGTAAAAGAACATCGAGAAACTACAGAAATAACAGAACACCAGAGAGCAGGGAGAGATACCAGAGGGCCAGAAATGAGTACCTAAGAGTGAGGAGGGAAGCAGAGAGACAGTTTGAAAATGACATAGCAAGTAATGACAAGACCCAACCAAAGCTGTTCCAAGGCCACATCAGGAGGAAAACATCAGTGAAGGAACAAGTGATGAAACTGAGAAAAGGGGGACAACAGATACAGAGAATGACAAGGAGGTGTGTGAAGAACTCAACAAGAGATTCCAGGAGGTCTTCACAATAGAACAAGGAGAAGCCCCTTCACTAAATGAGTAGGAGGCAAACCAAGCAACCTTGGAGGAATTTGACCTCACTAGTGGTAAGGTCAAAAGATCTCTGCTGGAGCTGGATGTGACAAAGGCTGTTGGGCCTGACAGAATCTCACCATGGATACTAAAGGAAGGTGCAGAAGCACTAAGTGTGCCACACTCTATGATGTATAACAGGTCACTGGAAACAGGTGACTTACCAGAAAGTTGG